GCTTTCACCAACATTCTCCTTCCTTTTCCTCTGATCCTTCTTGGTCTCTGTAGTTTCTGATACTCCTCAGTGTTCTACCTTCCACCATCTGTTCTTCATATGTGGGTGTTCCCTACATGGTCCCATTACCCTCCTCACCTTGCATACCCCCAGCCTGACTCCACTCTAAATGCTCTGTCCCTGCAGGTGATGCTGGCCCGGGTTCAGGCCCCAGAGACTGACCCTAGGTCAAGGTCAGGTGAGACTGATAATTAGTTTTAAATGCGTGGGCCAGAGACTGATCTAGGACAAACTAAGAGCAAAACTAAACCAAAAAACCAATCAAGATATCCTCAAGAACCCAGCTTATACTCAGAAGGAATCATCTGGCTTTATTGTCAATAGAAGAAGAGACAGTAGCTCACCTCTTTTTTTTTTTAAAGATTTATTTATTTATTTATACAAGCACTGGGTACAGTCAGAAGCGCGGGAGGGTGAGAGAATTCACCAGAGACAGAGCAGGGAGCAGAACAGGCAGAAGGACCGAAGTACACTGCTGAGGGGAGCAGCAGGCGGCAGGAGAGTTCTGCACGCCATGTGGGACCCTCCTCCTGTGGCCGGGGAGCAACCGGGGATCGAACCGGTGCTGCAGAGGCTGCAGGCAGCTTCGCAACCCAGCGCTCAACCACTGCGCCACCGGGGAGGCCCAGTAGCTCACCTCTTAAATCAGGATCCAACCATAATGATAAATTATGTTAGTAACAGTTTTAGTTAATCAGGATGGAAGAAGACAGATTATTTTACTTTTTCCTAGAAAATATTTAAAAAGTGATTTTACAAAATGGCAAATTATTGCTCGATAACACATTTCTTTCTTTCGCAGTCTCTGTTATCCATCATCATTTAAAAAAATATAAAGTCAATGTGTGTATTAAGCTAGAGACAGGTGAAGAGAAATAAAGAAATGATCCTTTTTACTTGACTAAACAGCTTTAAAAGATTGGCTCCTTTCATTTTTATCAAATAAATGTGATTACATTTTATGTATATTTCAAATAATGCCATACAAATTTCTTACTTTATGCACACAAAAAATTGTGTGATCATCCCTCAGCCCATTCAATCAAGCTTGCTTGCAGAGTAAATTGTAGATTAGATTTGTGCTATTTTCATTTTAGGGCAGAAGTTATCTTGCAAACAGAAATAGCTGCTCTTCTGCTCACAGTCATGTGAACCGCTGTTAGTGACTTCAGAGCACCAGATCTTCTGCAAGGAATTTCCTGGTGAGAAAAGCATCACATCTTTTTTCTTTCTTTCTTTTTTAAACTCTTAACCCCAAGTTATGCAAATATTTATTATGTGCTATGCTGGGGCTAGAAATCACCTTGAAATCAAAATGGGGAACAGAAGATGGGAGAAGATATTGTGAAGAAAGTTGATTGCTGTTGTAGTTGAGGAGAATAATGGAAGGATGCTGGCAATGGGGTTCTAATAGCAGTCTCACCCTAAGGGGGCCTTGTGCTGATGGGCCCATGTGTCTGACTCTCTGGGACCACATCTCCCTTGTTAGAATATATTTCTATGGAAAACCAAATTTGAATTATGTGGGATTTGAAGTACTTGACTATTTGGGACTGCATCTCTTGGGATGCAAAAATGGGGAGATGATAGGAACCCCACAAAGGTGGGACATCACAGGGCTGCCCCTGGTGGAGGGGAGGCGAGAAGTACACCTCACTGTAGAGCGGTTGGAAGCAAGTGCGTCCTGCCCTGTGCTGGTGCAGGTAGGAAGGAGGGAGTTTCACTTGAGAACTGCATCATGGTCTGAATTCATACTGAGCTTTAAAAACAATCTCAAGCAGAAAATGTGAAGTGATAGGATGTTGGAAATGCTTCTAGATAATTGGAAGAAACAGATGCAAATCAACCCTGGAAAAATACAACGTCAACCCAGGCTGACAGTGCTTCTAAGATGTTTAGCTAGCTAGCTAGCTAGCTAGCTATCTACATCTTAGTATTTATCTCACATTTCAGGGCATCCCTGAAAATCAGAATTCAGCTTACCATCCCCATCAGCCTGGACTGAAGGTGCGTTATGTACATAGGAGACCAGATGCAATGACATAGTAATGAGTTTCAGTTGGACCCATGGCCCAGTTATCAGAGATTGCATTTCCTGGCTGACAGCAGAGGCTGGCTGGCTGAGAGTAAGCTCAGGTTCTCTTCTGCCTGTTTCTATGGGAAAAGGTGACCATAATTCCACTGTAGAGTCCCTGTTGACCCCACTCCCCACCCTACTCCAGTGCCTGGATGACCTTAGGCTTAGATGCATCTGTTTACTCTAGACCAGAGGTTGACTAGGTAGTAAAGGGTCAGATAGTATTTTAGGCTTCTTTGGCCTTGCAGTCTCTGTTGTAGCTCTTCAGCTTTGCCTGGCTATTGCAGAGGGCAAGCAGATATGGACAATGAAGAATTACTGGGTAAGACTGAGCTTTGATAAAACTTTACCTACAAAATAGGCAGCAGTCCAGGACCTGGCCCCAGGCTGTTGTCTGCTGACCCCTGCTGGAGACCACCCACATGTGTTTATTGTACTGTGTGACAAGTTGAAACGTCTGTATTAATTAAGTCACCACATTTTGGGATTTCTTGTTAGAGCATCGTAGCTCGTATCCTAATTAAAACAACCTTCACTATAGATTAACTCCCCAAGCAGTTTTTAAATTCTTCACTTGGCTCTACTCTTGCCCTAGCTGGCAAGTCTTCTTTTGACATTCCTGTTTCCAATCTTGAAACCCAGTTTCCAGACTCCAGTCTGCCACCAAAATGAATTTTTCAAAAGCACGTATTCCCTTTCTTCCCCTCAAAATGCACCGCATTCCTCACTGCACAGGGTGAATTTCCGAGAGTTGTGTAAGAGACAGTGATGCCCCTGACCCTATCCCTGTAGCTTCTGCTACAGACACCAGTGACCTTCCCAGAGGTCATTGCTTATACAGCTTCCTCTGGAGGAATGACCTTCCTGACATGGTCCCCTGGTACATCCTGGTCATCTGTTACAACCTGGGCCCAGGGCTCCTTTTTGAGAAAGCCTTTAAGGCCTCTCACCCCACTAACAAATGAACCACTGTGAGCAGGGACTGCATATTGATGATTTTTATTCCTCCAGCAGCTAGCACAGAGCAGCCTCTGAAAAGGCTTGACTGAGTGAATAACTCACTCCTCTTCCATCGTACCAGTAATCAAATAGATCTCTTTACCTACGAAACATATAACATAAAATCAAGGGAGCAGAATAGAGCCCTTCATTTAGAAATGAGAAAAGGGAGGACCACAGACTAAGTATATTGCTCAAGTATAACTATTCATATTTTCTTTATACATTTCCCCATCTCACCTGTTGTGTAATCCCATCCCTTCAAATCAACCAACTCCTACCTGTATCTCCAGTGCAAGATCTTTGCCTGTGTGTTGGCTCAGTTTTGCCTGGAATTCTGCAAAGCTCTTCCTTGAAGCACTGCTGTTGACACCTCCTGCTTGGATTCTCTTGCTTTGTCATTATTTTTCTTACATATTTTTCCCAGTTACCCTACACAAAAGTCTAATCTCCTCTCTCTTCACCTGGTGAATGGGATATTCAGTGAAACTCTTGTTTGAGGTCCTAAGGTCAACATGAAAGTGAGTTGTGAAAGAAAGCTGGCTCTTTTGTAGGACTTATGAAAAGCTAATAGTTCAGGGCTGGACTGATGATTTCTAAACCTTTTTCCTGCGTGGAGGGTGCAAAATTTTGGGAGATCCAAGAATCAGGAGGATGTGTAGAAAGGGATGGTGTACACGGTGAGTCTACTCCTGTTCCTGAGAGCACGTGGGGCTAGGGGGGAGGACCAGAGTCGGGGGTGAGAGGTAATTGCTCCTCTCTTCAGGTCCTGGAGGGGCGTCAGTCATATTTTCTAGCCCAGAGTGCTAGATAAATGCCTCTTAGGGTTTGGGGTCAGAGTGGGTTAAGACAGACTCTCCCCCGAGAAATGGTCCAGAGACCAGCTGGGCAGCAAAGGTCTGGCTTGGGCCAGACCTCCAGAGTTTGTCATGAAACTCTGGAGTTTCTCCTGAATTCAATCCAGGTGAGAGATGCGGTATGGACTCACCTCAGGTCTTGACAAGGGGCTCTCTGGGGGCTTCAAGATAGCTCAGCAGAGAGAAGTCGAAGGTGCCACTGGATTCCTAGGAGTTTCCAGCAACCTGCTGGCATAGAGATGCTTATCCTGGGTCAAAGGAACTGTAGGATGAAGGCTGATACTGACGAGGGGCTTGTCAACACACTCACGAGAGCCCCTCTGTATAGATTGCCATGCCTGGAGCGCATGAAATCAGTGTATAGTAGTGCCAGTCGGGGTACAATTTCCTTCCCCTTTACCCCCTCGTCTTATGGGTCTGCAACACTGGAGGAGTTGGAGAGGTTGGTCTAATACAGTTGAGCGAGTTGGCAGATGAGAAAGAGAAAGGCCAGGGGCACAGGAGGAAACCAACTGACCTGTAATTTCTTCTGCCAGCCTGGCCTGGCCTGGACAAGGCCTGCTAGAGGAAGGGGAGTAGGTCCAACAGCACTTTGAGTGCCTGTTTGGACTCTGATAAGGGCGTGAGCTTCATATTTCTGCAGTGAGGATATTTACATTAGCTATGAATGACGAAAAACATCACAGGGACAGCCTGAATTGTCATGGAGGGCCTGGGAGAAGTTGGAGACAAAAACTGTTTTATGCTTGTATTTCTCCGTGTCAGTCCTGTTAAAATTTTCCTGCCTACATTTTTAACTTGCAAAGATTGTGAAAATATGTATTATTCCTAGTGATTTTTATCCAAATCAAAGGATAGAAAGAAAAACAAATGATGTGCTTTGGAACTGAGGATGTAAAGGGAATAAGGTTTACTTGCTAAAATGAAAAAACAGCACTTAGATGTTGTGAGCTGACGCTATATTCTCGTTAATTGTGTTTTCACACTCTTTAATAATATCTCATGAGTATACACTTCCACACTTGAGCTATATGTGGGGTTAGGAATTTACATTCTTTTCCACTCCTTCTCTGCAGCCCTTTGGAGAGAAAGCAAACAGAATCACGGGGACTCTCTTCAGTTGTGAGGATCCTGTGGAAATACAGGAGATACTCTAGTTAAAATTAAAATCTCCTGAGGAGGTTGGCTTTAACTTTCTTCATCTCCCTGCCAAAGAACAAGTATCCCCCGGTTTTCACAAATTATGTGGAGGGTAAGTGAAAAATTATGAGGCTTTTCCACCCTCTTGCCATTAGCATGAATGATGGATCCCTGTGGTCCTACGTGCATGCCTGATGGCGGGCACTTGAAGTATGGTGTGGGCATGCATAGGTGGGCACACCTGGGCTGAGAGACTGGGTTTATAAGGACGGCATCACGTGGAGGCCAGGAGAGCAGAACTAGAGAATGAGAAAGAGCAACAGCAGAATGAGAGCAGAACCAGCAGAGAAGCAGAGACCACGAGAGAACACCAGAGAACCCAGGAACAGAGAAGATTTGCTGGGGACTGGGAGGCGTGCCAGCTTCCTGGCCTCCCTCCCCCCACTTCTGCCTGCCATGTACCTGGTAAAAGCTCAATAAAAGCCTGAAAAGCAACCAAAGGCTCCAGGACTCTCCTTTACCCGACTGCTTGGATCATAGAGATCCTGCTCTGTGCCCTTCCTGCCGCTACAGATGTCAGTTTACTTTTATGAAAGACCTACCTTAGCAGCTGTTTTAAATAACTGGAAAACATCTGATGGGATTTTGCTTCATGATAATGGGGAAGTGAACAAGCACCTGCAGTTGATTTGCACATTCCTTCTAGAAGCAGCAGGCACTCTGACCAGCAAGGGGGACCCGCCCAGCTGCTTCTCCAGCATCCTCTTTATACCTGGTGCGTACTGGTCACAGCACTCCTGCTTTTACTGTATGTAAGTGTTATTTTAGGTTTTATGTGTTATTTAGTATGAGTTGGTAGGTTATTTTGGGGGTCTTAAATGCTCAAGAAATTACCATATAAGCTAAAGGTAATTGCTTCTTTATGCCTTTTCAGTTTATGAGAGGTTTCAACTGAATGCTCTACTTCTGCATAGTGGGAAACCCCGAATCTTGATTTGAAATCCTTTTAAAGCTAAAATGCCGCAGAGGATAACATAGCTTCAGAATTAGCTTTAGCTGAGCTGCTGAAAGGAGCCAAATGGAAGAAAAGTAGCAATCTGGAATAACACAGCTGAACTGGGCTCCACAGGTGTTGGGGATGACAGTGATGTCAGTGTCCATGGCGTCATCTTCGTTTTGCCACAAATCATTTGCAGAATGGCTTCCTTTCATAACAAGGTGTGTGTGGAATAATTACTCCTGTTGCTATGGAATTATCAAGTCCCTTGGTTTCAGGGACTGAGGTCTTCATATTAGAGAGCTGTTCGTGAGCCAGGAAGGACTGACTTCATGAAAAGCTGCTTATTTGTACTACATGGGGCCACCACACCCAGCAAACGCAGTGGGAGGCATGTCCCCTCTCCAGCAGGGTGCCGGACAGCCCAACCTCTGTTCTTTATAAAGCAAAAACTTTACATCTAAAATGATGTTTGTATCCATTAATATATACTGCATGCAGAGTTTATAGGGATGTATATATGTATTCTTTTAAAGATTTATTTATTGATTTATATAAGAACCAGGGTACAGACCAGATTTGTGGGAGGGTAAAAGGATTCACCAGAGACAGAGTGGGGAACAGAACAGGCAGACTGACGAAATACACTGCTGAGAGGAGCAGCGGGCGAGACAGGAGAGGTCTGCCACACCATGTGGCAGGGGATCAAACAGGCGCTGCAGAGTCTGCGGACAGCCTCACAGTGCGGTGCTCAATTGCCTGCGCCACCAGGGGAGGCCCAGGGATGTATATTCAAAAGAAGAATAATAGAATTAAAAGGACAACCACATACCATCCAGCCTAAGAAACAGAACATTGCCATTATCTTGGGGTCCTGTCTGTGCATCCTTTCCCTCCCCGTGCTCCAGAGGCACTCCCTATTCAGAATTTTTGTTTTATTAATCCTTTGTTTCCTTTTCAAATTTTGCCACACTTGCATGTGTCACTGTCAATATATTGTTTTGCCTGTAAATGGAACCATGATCAGTGTTCCTTGGTTCCTTGCTCTTTCACATTTGTTGTTGGTATTATGTGTGACTGTCCTTCCTTTTCACCACTGTGTGATGTGCCATGGTATGACTATATCAAAAGAGATATATTAGTTCTATGCCTGATTGACATCAAGATTGGTATTTTGGAGGACCTCCCTGGTGGCTTAGGGGTTAAGTCTCAACTCTGTCACTGCTGTGGCCTGGATTTGATCCTGGCCAGGGAGCTAACCCATACATGGTGCAGCCGACCTTGCCTATCTCCCCCCCTGCTATGCAATTATCAAGTCCCTCAGCAACTACACTCTGAGCAGTGTATTTCAGTAGATCTGCCTGTTCTGCTTCCCACTTTGTCTCTGGTGAATCCTCTTAGCCCCATTCACCTCTAGTATACCCTAGTTCTTCTACACAAAAATAAATAAAAAAGACTGACATTTTTTTCTATTATGTATACTGCTATTATTTTCTTTCTTGAACGTAACTTCTCTAGTTCATCCACCATAGTTTCTTTTTGGTTATAATGCTTATAAAAGGATTACTAAATGGTACAGTATATACACATCCAAATTTACTAGTGACACCACAATATTTTCCAAAGAAATTTTTTCAATTTATAATCCCACCATCAATGTACAAGAGTTTCACTGCTACTACCTTGGTTACCTTTGGTAACCAAGCTTAACAGTTTTAAAAACCTGGTGGCGTGATATAAAATCTGTTATTTAATTTGCATAGTCCTGGCTAATACAATTTCTGACCTAGTAGGACTGGACATCATTTCAGGAATTACAAGTACTTTTTTTTCATTAGCTGTGAAATCCCTATTCCAATCTTTCCCCTGCTTTATAAAGTTTATTTTTCTTTGCTCTTCATTTGAAATCTTCTGTTAAGTGTACTACAGATGTTGCCCCCAAGTTTGTCTTGTCATTTAACTCTTTGTGGGATCTTTGAGTAGCATGAATAGAAGTTTCAAAAAAAATGAAATGTCAAATATACCAATATTTTTCTTTTTGTTTGACTTGAGAAATTGATTCTCTTCTACATATTTAAAAATGTTGCCTTTAACATTTTAATTTCTTAACCCACATGGAGTATATGCATATGTGTGAGCACATTATGCTTGACTGGTTGGATATTTCGAATCTGATTAGGCCTTGAATCAGGATGGGAAGCACCTCATGCCAGCAGTGCACACTGATGGCCCCTTCAGTGGGAGCCCAGCAGGCATGCCCGTGCCCTCTTTAGGGAAGGGCACCATACTGAAACCCCAAGCTCCCAAATCAACAATAACTCTTCTAACTATCGGCATAGCTTTCAGGTCCTGGCACAGGAAGTGCCTACTTAAAAGCTACATGGCTTCAGGGAAGCTTCCTACCAGATATTTATGCTTCATTCATAGTCTTCCAAGATAAATACATTTTATCAATCAGGGTTCTTTTTATTATAAGCATAGCTGCCTCACAACACAGCTGACATTCTTCCTTCATTGGATTTTAAGAGAAACAAAACTCAGCAATTTCCCAAGTTGAGGAGAAAGGATTGTCCTAAATCTTCCCCTTCCTTCACTCTTGTGTATTTGTGTATGGTTAGTATGAGTAGGGATCTATTTTCACTATTTTCTATGTAGATAATTAGTTCTCCCAGCACTATTTGCTGAATAAGTTATGTTTTCCTCATGGATCTGAAATGCTAGCTGGATTATTTTTCAGGTATCACTGTATATGTGGGCTGCTTATTAGCTCTCTCTTCTGTTCCAGCACCACCCCATGCTACTAGCTGCCACACAGTTCTAGTTAATAGAGTGTCATCACAAGTTTTGATATCTGGAAGGTCAAGTCTACCTGTTTCTGCAATAAATCTTGTCTATTTGTGATGAGTTTTCAATCTGTCAACTTAGCTAAACTATAGTCCCAGCTCCATGAACAAGCACTAATCTAGGTGTTGCTATGAAGTCATGTTGTGGATATAATTAAAGTCCCTAATCAGTTGATTTTAAACAAGGAGGATTAACCTGTATTTTCTGGGTGGCCTGAATGCATCTGTTGGAAAGCCTTAAATGCAAAATTGAGATTTCCCCAGGAGGAAAAAGAAATGCCACCTGTGGATGAGACCTTTGGCCAGTCATTTGGAGTTCCATCATGCTTACTATGGTCTCCTCTATGGAGTTACTAGTCAATCCAGCAACCACGTAAGCCGTCTTCTTATAATAAATCTTCCCTTCTCTGCCTCTGCCCCTTTCTTGCTGTCTCTTTCTTCTTCCTCCTTCCCTCCTTCCTGCCCTCCTCTCTTTCTCTTTATATATTGTTCTGCTTCTCTATTTGAACCTTGATTTGTTCGTTACTCTTCTTTCACATAAATTACAAAATCAGCTTCTTATATAAAAATACATGTTCTGATTTTGATTTGTGACTCTATATTCTAATTTGGGTGGAATTGATAGCTTCACAAAATTAAGTCTTCCTATCCATGTTTTCCTGCATATTTAGGTCTTTTCAATGCATATCTTTCTATAAAGATTTATAATTTTCTGCAGAAAATCTTACAATTATTATAATTGCTATCTTTTAAACATCTTTTTTATTACATAAAACACATAATAAAACTTGCACAGCTTAATGAATTGTAGACACCTATGTAATACTTCTCAGGTCAAGAAGTGGAATATTGTTTTTAAACTTGCTGCATGACCCTCTCTGTCCACAAGAGACATAATCATTATTACCTGAGACATAATCATCATTCTGAGTTTTATGATAGTATTTCTCCTTCCCTCCTTCCCTTATTCTTCTCATAGTTTTGCCACTTCTGTAAGGATTGACAAATGATCTGGTTTAGAATCACCTGAATGGAATCATGCAGTGGAAATACTTTGTGGATATTCTATTTATGGCCAATTGTGAAGACATTTTTATTTAGCCTTCATTTTTTTAGTAAAATAAACATTTCACATTACAAAGTGTCTCTATGTCTAAAAGCCTTTTTTTATGCCTCAAAGTCTACTTTGCTGATATTATTCTACCACTCTAACTTCCACACCCCTTCACCATTCTTTCATTTCCAAACTTTTTGAATTCCTTACCTGCTGACTTTTATGGCTTGTCATTATCCTTTCTTTTCCCAGAATCCTTTACTATTTTATTGATGTCAAGTGAGGAGAACATTATATTTTGTACAATTTTTTAGTTATCCTAAGTATGAAGGTTAGTACAATTTAACCTTATGTGCCATTATCAGAAGTAGAGACTTATGTTAGTGACTGACTGCAAAAGTAAATAGTTTCATATCTTATATCTCAAATCTTATATCCTGTAGATTTCCTAAATTCTCTTATTCTAGCATTTTGTATATAAATCCCTTTTAATTTCTTAAAAAAAAAAGATTTATTGATGCATACAAGAGCTAGAGTGTAGGCCAGAGGTGTGGGGAAGTGAGAGGATTCACCAGAGACAGAGTGGGGAGCAAAACAGGCAGATTGACTGAAATACACTGCTTAGGGGAGCAGCAGGTGAGACAGGAGAGGTCTGCTGTGCCATGTGGGTTAGCTCCCTGGCCAGGAATCGAACTCATGTTGCAGTGGCTGCTGATGGCTTCATGGTGCTGAGACTTAACCCCTTGCACCACCAGGGAAGCCCCTAAATCCCTTTGAATTTTGAGTAAGCATATCAGAAAATAAAAAGATTTTTTTAATTTTTCTAGTCCTTTCAATTTGAATTTCTTTTTTTGGTCTGTAATGCAAATACCTTCAATATAATGAATAGAAAGTAGTAATAGTGACCATTTTTTGCTGGTTCCTGCTTTTATGATACATCATTTAATTTATTATTATTAAGCAGAATATTTGCCATAGGGTTTTTTATAGATACTTGGTAAAAGTAGGAAGTTCCCTTTTAGTCCTAGTTTTCTGAAAGATTTTAAATTTTTATTTAAATACAGGACTAGGCTAATTTTTTAAAATTTATTTATTTTTATACAAGAACCGGGGTACAGGCCAGATGTGTGGGAGGGTGAGAGGATTCACCAGAGACAGAGTGGGAAACAGAACAGGCAGACTGACTGAAATACACTGCTTAGGGGAGCAGCGGGCGAGACAGGAGAGGTCTGCTTCACCGTGTGGGATTCTCGCCAGCCGGCCGGGATCAAACCCATGCTGCAGAGGCTGTGGACAGCTTCACATTGCGGTGCTCTACTGCCTGCACCACCAGGGAGGCCCCAAGATTTTTAATTTTTAAAATCGTAACTGTTAGTGAATTTTATTGGAGGTCTGCATCTATTAATATATGCACCTATCATATGAGGTTTTGTTTTGGAATCTGTTGTGATGAATTCATTATCAGATTTTTAAAATGTTGATCCAATTTTGCACTCTTTAATAATACAGCTTCATCACAATGCATTATCATTTTTCTATCTTTCTTGCATTTGGTGTGCTTATGTTTTATTTGGGGTTTTTTTTTGCATCTATTCTCCTAAATAACTTTCTGATAATGCTCATGTCTGGTTTTGGTATGAAGTCTATATAAGTCTCATAAAATGAACTGCAAGTCTTCCCTGTTGTCCTTTCTTTGAAAGAACCTAGGATAAGCTTAGAATTATCTGTTCCTTGAGTATTCAGGAAAGTTTATTTCTAAGGTAGGTCTTATGTATTCTTTGTGGGGAGATTGTAACTACTGATTAAATTTATAGGCTGGATCAACAATCATCAAAGACTCCTGCCAGGGTATTGCCGGCTGTGCCAGCAAGCTTGAGCTGTCTGACCAGTGTCAGGCCCCTAATACCTCCCCTTCCTGTCCTTCCTTCTATCCCTCTCCAGCATTCTCAGAGGGAAAATCCACATGGGCTGCAGCTCCCCCCAGTGGCCACAGATGGGCATCTCTGAGGGAGAGCTTGTTAGTGGTGGGCAGCCACAGCCTGGGGGAAATGGTGAGGCTCTGGGCAATTGCTTGGGTTCCAGCATTGTTACAGAGGGTGGCATTTCCCTAAAGGGCTGTAGGTTTGCTGTGGACAGGAGGAAATGTGAGGATAGGAACTGACTAGTTGGAGCTGAGGAGACTGGTTGGTGGGTGAGAGGACTGGTGGCTTCCCTGGGAAGGGTGAAGGCACAGGGAAGGTGAGTGGGGGTGTTTGGTCTTAGAGGATCACTGTTAGGCCACACATGTTTAGTTGCGACATCAGGGAATATGCAAGAAAAGGGTTATTGGTGGTAGGATATTGAAGGGATATACAAGAAAAGGGGCTGGGTGAATGTGTGCCTGGGCAGGGTCTGGAACTCAGTGTATTAGCTCGTTACCAACAAGTAAGGACATTTATGAAAATTGTGATGTCTGTTAAAGTCTTTCTATAATGCATCAGATCTGATGACCATATATTGTTTCTGGATTTCCTTTCAGCTTTTTGAAGATATATCAAAGGTTTCTGGGTTCATTATTCTGTGAGAAATTAACTACTAGTTGAATTAGAAGTTTTGGGTAGATAGTGTCTTTTCTAATATGTTTATGATCTCTTTCCTCTTCTGGTGTTTAGCAGTTTCAGATATATGTATCTAAGTGTTATTTCTTATCGTTTATCCTACCTGGGTTTCTTCATTTGAGGACTGGAATCTTTTTATCAGTATTAAAAATAATGTGTCAGCCATTATCTCTTGAATATTGTCCCGCCCCATTCTCTCAGTTGTCTCCTTCTAGATTTTATATTGTGTCTTCTCATTTTCCCACCCTATTTTTTCTCCTCTCTATTCTGAATAGTTCCTTGAGATTGAAATTCCACCTAATTAATTCTCTCATCAACCATATCTACTGTGGTCTTTAATCTATGCATTGAGTTTCATTTCTAGAAATTCTATTTTATTTTTTTTCAGACCCTATCTAGTTAACTTTGACAGGCTTTTGTTTTTCATCATATTTTCATTCTTTTATTTCTTTGTAATATTAAACATGCCAATTTAAACATTTTATATGCTAATAGCAACAGTCAAAGTGCTTTTGGGGGTCTGCTTCTGTGACTTACCATTTGACTGTTTCTTACTTAAGATGACTTACTGTGACTGCTGATTTTTGATTATAAGGTCTGATTCTTTATAACTTTATTTGTGGAAAGTCCTTGACATCTGAGTTAAGTTGCTTGGGCCAGTAAACTCTTTAAATGAAATTTTCATGTTAGGGGTTTGGCTCTGTTACATAATAATTGTGAATTTCAGATCCAAACCAATTTGATGGTGAGCCTTGCAGTTAAAAATTCTCAGTAAAAGATTGTCCCCACCCATACTCATGCACCCAGAAACAAGACAAAAATGGTCAAATAGAAAATGACTACCTGCTTTTTCTATGGATGAGGGAGGCTGCTGAGGTTCTATTTTACTCACTACAGATGACATCCTTTGAGATTATAGCACTGGGAGTTAGGTCTCTAATCCAATCTCCTATACTTCCCACCTGACTTATGCTCAGCTTTCTCCAGGCACTGATCCATGGATACTTAACCAGATTCTCCTATACACAGTACCAGGTATGCTTTCATCTCATGTCTGGAAGTTATTTCTGGTAATGGGAATATGCAGTTGACTCGAGCAATATGGGGTTAGGGACATTGCACCTCCTCCCTACCCCATGCAGTTGAAAATCAGTGTATAACTTTGTTCTTCTCCAAAACTTAACTACTAGTAGCTGCTGTTGACCAGAAGCCTTAATGATAATATAAAACAGTCGATTAACACATATTTTGTGTCACATGCCCTGTATACTGTACTCTTACAATAATGTAAGCTATAGCAAAGAAAATTTATTATGGAAATCACAAGGAAGGGAAGATATTTTGTGGTGCCATACTGGTATTTATCTATACCAAGAGTTTATGCCATCTGTTCATGAGGAAATCCACATGTAAGTGAACCTGTGAAGTTAATACCCGTGTTCAAGGATTAATGGTACTTTGCTTTTATTTTATTATTTCATTTTTTTGTACTTTGCTTTTAAAAGAATCTTTATTGCGTCTCCTTTTTCTTCTCCCTCCCTTTGTCCTACCTTTTCCTTATCTGGTGGGAATGGAGCTCTCAGTTGGGGAACTGACTCTCCTCTTGCTTCTATCCCTTGAAGTAGCTAAAAATAAAAAGATAATTAATGACTTAAATAATCATGTACATTTTTAATAGACTCCAGAGATCCTGTTAAGTAAAGTTTATTATAAACACACACACACACAGACACACAGCATCTGCTATGTATGGGACATTGTTCTAAGTGCTCTGCAAATATTCATTCCTTTAATACTAGTAATAGCCTAATGAGGTAGCTACAATGATTTTTTTCTATCATTTTTCCATGCAGAAACCTAGGTCTAGATAGACTAAATGGCTTGCCCAGGATCATAGACCTTGTAAACGGGAAAGCCAGGGGTGAGATCTCAGTAGCTGGACGTAGTGACCCACCGCTAATGTCAGACACGTTGTGACACTGTGGTAACTGTATTCATTCTTCTTAACCTGCCTCCAGCATTGCTCTGGGAGGTTTCTTAAACTTTCTTGTTAGGTGTTACACATTTTAGGAAAAAAATCCCAGAAAACACATTATTCTGCAAACATTTCTGATGTCTTAACCAGGATTAAGATACCTCCTCGGAAACAGGAAAGAAATAAAGCTGGGAGATGGGGAACAGAGTTCTGGTCATGATTCAGTTGAAAAGGACAACAATAGAAGGTGCCAGGAAACTCCTCATCAAGTGCCTTGAGAACATTTCTGAATGAATGATAGTCAAAGGGGAATCTCAGTGGAAACAGAGGCACAGTCCCTGATGCTTCATAAAGGTGTCCTCTTTCTTTAACAGCTCCTGGGCTTAGCTGTGCCAGATCAACTCTCAATAGCCTGGTCCCTTCCACACTACTTGTACTTCTGTAGTTTCTGTAATAGGTTCACTGATGTCATGTTATGGAAAAAAATTTGGATATAGATTCAGAAGACCAGAAGTCTAATTTCCACTTTGTACTAGCTATGCAGACTAGTGATTTAGCCTTTTGAACCTCAGTAGCCTCATCTATAAAAAGGAAGTAATAATAGCTGTCCTGCTTACTTATATAATTGTTAATACTAATAGTAGTACTTCTTTACAACCACATACCTATAGCCAATGGTAAGTGTAGTAAAGGAAAGAAGTAAAATGCAAGTTAATATGGCTTATTGCTTATCAAAAGGATGACTAAATGTTTTAGACTCGGTCATTTTATTTTCTATGTTTTCAGCTATTGAGCTCACCTCTAGTGTATCACTAAACTTGCTTTTAGGATGTAGGTTTTACATTTTTATAATATTTGACATATTAAAACTTCACCAGATGTGCATTTGGTCCCTTGACCATTTTGCATGTGGTTTTTGGGTTGTTACAGACCTTCATCCAGCTCCTGAGGGTCATGCTAGGCTCCATTTTTAAGGTTCCTCTGGTTTACAGTGGAATGTACCATTGTGAGACAGTTTGGGCATAGAGATTATATATATGCCCATATATAAAAGATATATATTATCTTATGTATATTATATATGTATATATTATATACAGATTTTATATATATATATATATATATATACACACACACACACACACACATGCCCATACAGATTGGGCATAGAGATCGCATATTTAGGGGACCATCTTTTTGATAATTTAGATTAAAAAATCTTGAAACATATGATTATTTTCTTTTCATTGCTGTGAATCTTTCATTAGCTTTATAGTAGTCTCCAAAGATTTCTCTCCTGAACTGGAGAAGTATATTTGTATATTGATGACAGTTAAGAGTTAGAATTTCAGGATATGACATTATAATATTCTTTTCTTTGAAACAATAAAATATATTGGTAAACCTGTAAATGGCAAAGCAACCTAATTTTTGTTTTTAGGAATTCTTGTTCTCAACGAGCTTAGATGTTAATGACATGATAACTTATCGATAACTTATTTATTGTAGGGTGTTAATGTGTAATAGTTTTTAGAAAGTTTCAAGAATTTTATATAAGTGTGATTATTAAAACTGATCAAACAGTAAACTTAGAATTTGAGTACTTCACAGTATGTAAATTTTACCCTAAAAACTGTAGACAAATATTGAATTCTTGTGAGTGGTATATATATATATATATATATATATATATGTGGAAACATATAAGGTGAAATGTGCTGTTGATGTTTATGACCTATTTTGAAATGTATAAAACAATCACATATATCGATGAAAGGATAGATAGATCTGTGAAAAAGCAGCCAAAAAATCCTAGCAATGGTACATAGTGTCCATTGTATAATTCTTTCAACTCTTTAATATCTTTGAACATTTTTATAGTTAAATGTAGTTAAGAGGGAGAGAAAGTAGCCAAAGGCAGATCCATACACCATTGTAAATTCCTTTAGAGTGCGTGTCTTCTCATTTTTGTTAGCAAAATGTGCCCAATATAGTGTTTTGCACACACAGCCCACGAAACACAGAAAACTCACAATTACAGACAGGGGACAGGAGTTCCCTGAGTCTCCCAAAATGAAGCTGAGGTTGTGAGTCTGGAATAGCCCTAATTAAAGATGCAGCTATTCATTCAGTGCTAGCTTGTGTCAAGCTTTGACCTAAATACTTTTGAATATCACTCATTTTAATCCTCACAGCAATCCTCTAGGTGGGGGAAGAAAGAGAGCATTATTTTCACATTACAGATGAAGAAACTGAAATTAGGGGAGAGCAGTTCCCTCTGGACCTTAGAAAGCTAGAATGGTGAGAGAAAACTTAACCAGATATTAGGTAAGCACAGTCTCCATTCAGCAACATTTCAAAATGCTTTAACGTCCAGTTTGTGATGATTTTTCAAGGAAACTAAACAAGAAAGTTAGAAGAGTCACAATTTTTTTTTGGAGTCTGGATCTTGGAGCATTCTAAAACAATTGAAGGAAGTTGTTTTGGATGGATGGATGGAGGGATGGATAGATGGATGGATGGGTGCATTCATTCATTCATTCATTCAGTAAACTGAACTCTTACCATTCATTTACTGAACTCTTGTCATGTTCCAAGTGCTGTTCCAGTTGCAAGGGATGTAGCAGTAAACAGAACAGAAAAGTTCCATTGCCTTGTGGACTTACTTCTTAGTGGGCATCTGAAAAGTTAGTGATGGGCAGCTTTTACTCCAGGAATAAACTCTTTATGAGGTCACGAAGGAAAAGAACTTTCTCGTCCACCAGGTTATCTTTGTATCCTACGACCTATCCCTGAGCCCAAATGTAGTGGCTTGCAGGTGAGCCTCAAGATGTCCGTGCTCTAGCACTAAACACCTAAGAGTTTATAGGGCGCCCCATCTCCATCATAATATATAATTGAAAATAAAACCCTGATGAAAAGTCTATCCATAGTTAGATTTTTTCCCATGAGAATTGCCTTTCCATGAAAATAGGAAGCCCTTTTCTACCACAGCCTGACCAATGTCTTCCGTACGTGTTCTCGTTTTGCAGGTTCTCTGTGCCTGGAGTACCATGCCGTGGAATGGTCCTGCTCTGGAGGTTTGTTAACTACAGAAAGAGTAGTTTTGGAAGTGACTGAAGCTTGAAATGCTGTTGGCTATCTTCTGGATATTCAATCATTTTAATATTCTGTATTTTTGTTGCCTTGTTCTGTTTACCTTGGTTGTTTACTAAGATTACTCTTGCAAAACCTCAAGTGGCTTGTTGGCTTCCCAGGAGGACGAAGTAAGTCTTTCCATAGCAGTTTTTATACAGTGGAAACCATCTTCTTTCTTTCTCTGTCTTCATTCTAGTTTTGCTGCCACCACAGGCCATATTCTAAGAAGCTATATTCTTAGCTGGCTATTTTACTTATTAGTTTTCAGTAATCCTCTTTTCTCTGAATGCTGTTTCAGTATCTGATTAATATTGCTTACACATGATTTTGATGTGTTGTGAGGTCCAGAGTAGAGGCTTGGATTTTATCTCCCCTTCTCTCTTCTGTCCGGGGAACTGCCTCCTATCCTCTTAATCAGCTGATTTTATAATAAGTAGAGCCTTCTTCTTTCATGGGGCTCAAGTTGCTGCTTGGAACTAAGGTAGGCTGGTCAGAGGACTCAAAATATGAAATCAATTGACATGTAATTTTTAACTGATGAGGTACTATCTTAAGGTACTGGCCAGGGCTGTTTCCTCCAAGGGAACTGGGAGACTAGAGAAGCTTGACTGCTTATTTCTATAATAAAACTTCCTATTGGAAGCTGGTATAGGTCCCTCAGTGAGTCGTACTTCAGTTGGAGGGGTTGCAGCTTGGCCGGTAATTGGTTTAATTTAGGAGCTGTGCAGGATGAAGCTGCCTGAAGAATCCCTAGTTACCCACTTCATCCCAAGTTACTGCCCATCAGTGCTGTCTTGACGGGGAAATCACCTTGTTTCCCCAGAAACTAGAGTGTGATGTCTTCATTCTGCACATGTGGGGTGTATAGGATAATCAATAATTTGAAAAAGACTTTAAAATTTGAGTAGTATATGCAGCTTTTAAAAAGAAATTCTCATGTATCTATGTTGCTTAAACAATATTTTGATTGAGTTATGTTTATAACTCATATAGGGCTATAAATCTAAATCAAATTTACAAATTTTCAAACAAGACTGCATGAATTAGGTAATAACCACACTTGGAAAGCTTCCCATTGGTGTGAGGAACATGCTAAGTGCTTTATATTTATTTAGCTGATTTCATTATAACAGAAGGATTTGACCTCGTCTAACTTATGAAGGAGAAACTGAGGCACACAAGCCACTGAGCTGTTAGGAATTTTGCTTTACTTCAAACCCATACAGTTTCACTTCAGAGAATGTGCACATAATAGTTATGCTAAGCTGCCTTCCTAAAAGTCAGCCAACATTGAAGTGACAGGTGGTGTAAATTAGTCAACATTCCCAGATAGTTGGTATAACTGGGGTGGGGGGGGGAGGGATGTGTGTGTGTGTGTGTGTGTGTGTGTGTGTGTGTCTCTTCGGATTTAGGGCATGATGGACCATCATCTCAGTCATTTCATGCCTTCTGCCTTATATTCTGTCTTTGGTGATGAATATTTTAACCACACATCTCTTATTTTGGATGAGCCGGTTAAATCATGCACCACAAAACACAATTCTGGAAGACGTAAGAACGACATGAAAAAAAAATAGAGTAAAAAATACCTTGTTGCATATTTAATTATTAAACTTATTGTTAATTAACTTTTGCTAATTGCTATGAAAAATACATAATCTGAGGAATGCATGCTAGGTCAGGTGCTGTTGGATTTTTTTTTTTTTTAACTTTTAGTGGTTGAGACTAACTTGTCATCATCTGACAGTTCAATCCGCCTACTATTGTGTTCCCTCATTGAACCAGAAGGGACAGCTTCATTTGGATTGCTGTTTGGCCTTCCCTGGGCATCAACATCATCATAAACATAGCTGCAGGAGTAGGGCAGCCTGGGTTTTAGGTTGCTATGCAGATTATCCAGAATTGGCTTAAGATAAAAAGGTTAATTATCTTTGCGAGAAGATAATTTTGAAACTTTGAAAGAATTTCAAAGTTGAGAGGTCTTGAAAATATAATCACAGAAATCTATAGTCTTCAATGTCAAAACCACTAGACCAGTGGTATGTCTCAGAGGCTGGAGCTCAATCAGATGCAGAAGGAGTGTGAGCCAAGTCGAAGGGGCTCACTGGTGGAGATTAGAAGCTCTGTGCCCGGTGTGACACTCCAGGGCTGATTTTGGGATTTGCTTCTAATTCCATTGACAGTCTTTGAGAGTTACCTTGACTCCAAGCCTGTGGTTGGGATTTGCTCTTGTTTAGCCAGCACGTGGTTGCTGAAGTCAGGCCTCATTTGTATTAGTTTAATTTAGTGAATCTGCAGGTGGGGCTCAGCCTGAGTGTTTAACATCAGAGCACCAACTTCCTTGTTTCATGTAAAAAATGGGGTGTTGGCTAATAAGAATACGCTGATGTAGGGTTTTGGAAGGATACTGGCCTATGAATTTCCTGATTGCCTTGTCACCACTGGACCTCAGGTGTTGGCAGGGCTCAGTGACTCCCTACTGAGTAAAGAATTGCAACTGGCACTTCTGAGATCCAGGAGACAATTTTAGTTCCTTGATGATATCATTTCAGGTATTTCATAATTATGACCAAACTATTTAATGACCTTGAAGGCAATTTCCTAAAGATCTCTGAGAAATGGTAGAATGAATTTGTGTGTGTGTGTGTGTGTGTGCATGCATGTGCACAGATCAATGAATGCTTTTCCTTTTTCCCCTTTCTTGCAGCTGGGTGGGAGTCAGCAGCACCCACATAGGATGGTATTAGTGAGGTCAGTCACCTAGTCACCTGTCTTTCCTTTCAAAATGTGGGCAAGAGGCTTCTGAAATCTCCTGAGAGCGATTGTAACTTGCAGTGTATCCACAGGGACTCATTACAGGGAAAGGAAAGGAAAATTTTCATGGTGGCTTTTTGAACAAGCTTAGCTCAGCTAATGAAAAACGGAAGGAAGAGTCAGTCCAGAGCAAGACACTGAGGAGGCAGGTTCCACATGAGAACGCAAGAGAATATTTCCTTTAAAATGAAACATTATTAATAGTTAAAAATAGTTTTTGACTTTCTCTTTGTAACCATAAATTACATGTTAACTCAAGAAGGGGCTTCTAGTTGTGTTTCAAAAAAGTGTGCTGTAAGATGATTTTTGTAGCTGTTATGTTGAGTTTACCCCCTGGCTAGGGGTGGGCCACGCTGATTTGCTCCATGCTCTCAGGGCTGGTCCACTTAGTGTTTAGTAGCAGGTTGCCATGGTTTCATCAAGACACACTTTCCTGCCAATGCAGTTAATGGGCTTTTCCATTTTTTTTAAGATTTATTTATTTTTATTTATACAAGAACTGGGGTACAGGCCAGAGGTGTGGGGGGTGAGAGGATTCACCAGAGACAGAGTGGGGAGCAGAACAGGCAGAATGACTGAAATACACTGCTGAGGGGAGCAGTGGGCGAGACAGGAGAGGTCTGCTGTGCCATGTGGGTAGCTCCCTGGCTAGCCGGGAATCGAACCCACCCTGCAGAGGCTCTGGACAGCACTGCGTTCCATCTGCTGTGCCACTGGGGAGGCCCACTTTTCCATTCTTAATATCAGGAATGACAAGGAGAGGGGAAGAATATAACTTAGCCTCTCTAATAAATCGAGTAAATCCCCATGAATGTCAGTGTAATAATGGAAAAAATATTTGTATGCAGAGGAATTAATAATCCCTTGAGAAAATACTGTTCTTGCACATCATGCCCCTCCTTGTAAGGCTTTAAAATTTTTTCTGTTAATTATTTTTTTAAAATTTGGTTTGACATACCAATGTTTGATCTAATACTAAAGTTCACCTTAGAGGATATAGTTAGAAGTCCACCTTCTTACTAGGTTTTGAATAATTAGTTGACATGGTATTGTTTCTTTAGGATATCATTTTTGCAAATAAAGTTGTTTCTGTTCAGTGATTTTTTTTTCTGTGTATCCCAAAGAAGCATTTTGTTATAATTACTCACTATTCTCAGTATTACCTAGCTGTAAGAACTGTTTACTAAATGCATTAGTTGATTGTATCTCATTTTGATAACCCTCACTTTAAAAATTTTAGTTAGCAAAATCCCCCAACCACTTGCTCTTTGAATCATTTAATGGAATAATTAATTCTGCATTTAATCAAGCTATCATTATTTTTGCCTCTTTATTCTATAATAAAAAAAAAATCCAACTACACATGTAAACTTGAATGTGCTAAACAAGTAACTTTGCCCAGGCACCTTTTTTTCTTTTTAAGATTTATTTATTTTTGCATACAAGAGCTAGGGTGTAGGCCAGAGGTGTGGGATAGTGAGAGGACTCACCAGAGACAGAGTGGGGAATAGAACAGGCAGATTGACTGAAATACACTGCTGAGGGGAGCAGCAGGAGAGACAGGAGAGGTCTGCTGTGCCATGTGGGTCAGCTCCCTGGCTGGGGATTGAACTCATGGTGCAGTGGCTGCTGATAGCTTTGTAGTGCTGAGACTTAACCCCTTGTGCCCCCAGGGAGGCTCCTTTTTTTGAGATAGGAAGAAGTTATAGAAAGGAGGACCATTTATGAGGGGTA